CTTTAATATCCACTTCAAAACTAGGAATAAAAAGAAACATGTTTTGTGTTAGCAGAATTTAATACTAACTTTAAAACTTATCCAACATTAATAAAACTTACCTCAAGTTGCCTTTTTGGACATGCATGAAGATATTTTTACAAATTGTACTTGAGAGGAGATTATTACAGCCTCATATAAAATCAATGATGATCATGATATCGGAACTGGATCAGTATCGGAGGGTATTCAGATTTAAGTATCGGGATCAGATCGGAAGTAAAAAAAAAAGTGGATTGGTGCATCCCTAGTTGGGAGCTGTGACTTAGCAAGACGAGCTGATCCTGCTGCCGCTTGGTTTTAAGCAACTAAGCGGTTGCAGGTGTAACTCAAACTAATGTGTCAAGGTGTGCTAGCATTCCTTTGGTGTAGCATTAGCTTGCTAGCTTTAAGGGCCATTTCCAACTAACATGTTATGATGAGCTGCTTTAGCCAAAGTTGTTGGCTCGGTTTTAACCCTGCTGCTAGCATTAGCAACGGGCAGCTAATATGTCACAATGAACTAAATCCTTGTCTCTCACCTAGCTATGACATTCCACCAAAGGGTTGGAACCTAATGCCAAGGAGTCTGTATCCCACTTGTGCCCTGCATCATGTGGGGCCTCCACCTGGGTTGGGGAGCCTCACCCAATGTGCATATGCATACACGCCAAACATGTGCAAGCATCTCTGGTGAACCCATGTCCGCACTGCTCCTCCCTGCCAGAAAAAAAAATCATAGACAGGAAGATGAGAGTGGCAGTTGCAAACAGCCTGGACCCATGCCTATCTGTAACCGCGGTAACAGATGACAGTCATGAATTCAATTCACTTTATTTATATAGCACCTAGTCACAACAGAAATCAACTCTGGGCACTGAATAAATACATTCATGTACATAAAAATTCAATTAGTAACATTATTTATCTAAGGTAGCCAGCACATTGCATTGACTCTTCATTTCATCACAGTTTCCCATCCTGAGCAAGCACAAGGCAACCGTGGAAAGGAAAAACACCTTCCTAACCTAGAGGCCATCTGCTTCGACTGGCTGGGATTGAGAGTTCTGTGAGGCAACAATGTTGGTGAACACAGACTGTTTAAACACCGATCACTGATGGAAAAGTCTTACCAGCATCACAGGCATGAAAGAGTTATGATGTCATAATCAGCAGCAGCTGTCAATCAATTTTGTAGAGCGAGATAACATACATTTACTATTGTTTATTATTCAAAAGATATATTTATTTTTATTTAATCTTAATTTTTTTTTTTGTCAAACTTTATCCTGGAATTATGAGTAAATATTTCAAAGAATTTTGCTAATGACCTGTTAGCAAAATATTTACTGACTCACCAAACAGATTTATTTTAACTCTCAACATTAAATTATTGGATGTACGTCTACAACTGATTGCCTTTTGAAGACGATCCAGTTCACAGTGTCAGCCAGAGCTAATTGGCATTAGCCAACACAGATACGGAGCTAAAATTGGATGTGGTAGTTACTGACTCATTCACAAAACAAACACTGAGCGTACTTTTAAGGTTTGACCAAATTAGCCACAACTCCCTTCAGTTCTGAACATACAATCATCTCAGCCTGAAGCTCTGACATGAAAGAGTATATACATAAAGAATTTGACTGATAAGAGAAGCCCTATATTAAAAAAAAGTATTCGATCTGACAATTTTTTTACCATCATGAAAACAAAACTGCAATCCTGACTCTGAGTTGGTGGTTTGATTTACTGTTAAATTTATTTTTTCATATTGCTGTGAAATGTATCACTACATAATTGTTTTGCTTTTTCATTGTGATGCAGCCTCTCAAATTTGAACAATATTCACAACCATCTTTTCTCACTCATCATCCTTGGTAATCACAGCCATTTATTCCAGGTGTTAGTTGGTCCTTGGACAGCCTCTCCTGCATGTAAACAGCTCTCGTGTTGGCATGGTTACTTGTCGTATAACAGATGTTAAAAAATGCCTGAAGTACCAGCAGAAATCATTCAAGCATCGCAGCATCCAAACCATCTTGGTGCTTATGAAGATAGCCGTGTGCCCAGGCAGCGAGCAGCCTCCAGCGTCCTCCTTTAATGTGCTTTGGATCTGTCCCACAGCTGACAATCTTGAATGTTGGCGTTCTTGGTTCATCTGAATTGACCATAGTTTGTGAATAACAATGCTGGACTTGTTCTTTGAATCATTACTGTGATTGAGTTTCACTTGTTTGAACAAGATGGACTCCCTGGCACTAGTAAAAGTAAAAACATTTCATACTAGGATCATTTTATAATAAGAAAGGATTTAAAAGGTTCAAGTTGAACCTTGCAAAGAACGAAATGCACAATCTCATGCACCATTATGAGCTCTTACAAGATGTTAAAGCACTCAAAGTAAATATTGAGCAAACATCCATAAACCTTGACCATAACTCCCTGACAATGACTCCCAGCTACGACCTCACCATGTTTTAGCTCAAAGGCTATTAAACTAACTGGGTTATAGATGTTTTTGTGTTGCTAAAGTTTATTAGTAGCAGCAACAATCTTGAATTGGGTTGATCCTAAAAATTAATCAGTTGTAGTTGTACATCCATTGATTACTTTGAGTTTCACTAAAATTTGTCAAGTGTTAGTGTTATTATGGCTAGTATTTTGCTAACAGAGAAACGGCATCAACTTTCACAGTTAATGCTAACGTTTTAGACACTTGTGCACTGTGAATGACACTGACTTTGACACAAACTTTTAGTTTAATATCTGTAAAATTGACCTGAGTTATATTCTAAAGTGAATTCCAGCCTTCTCGATAACTTTTTGAGTAGGAGGCGAACAGCTCAGAGTTGAGGCTGGAGTCATTTCCCAACATTAACACATATGTTCTGTTCAGCTAAAATGTTTGTGAACACAGACTGTTTAAACACTGACCACTGATGAAAATGTCTCACAAGCATGAAATGAGTTATGACGACATAATCAGCAGCAGCTGTCAATCAATATGTAGAGCAAGATAACATACATTTTCATAAAGATAAATTAATTTTCACATTGAATTTATCTTTATTCTTTATCTTGCAGCAGTCCCAGCTGAATGCATGCAGCTCACAAACTTCACTTTGTTTTCTGTAACTACAGACAAGATCATGAAACCTGATTCACATCAAAAGCATCGTATTGTGAACATGTGAATAAGATGATTTTAACCCTTTAACGTTATGACTACTACTACTTTATGTTCCTCCAGGGGAAAGTCAACCACCTTATTTAACTGCTTCAGAATGCTAGTTTAAAATCTTTTTTACACAAAGAACTACCACTGGTATTCAGTCTTTTAGAGCTGTCTCAGCCTGAAATAAAAAATATCTAATTTAAATGATTTTTTAAATCTTAACTCTAAGGGTTTTTAATTTAAAACTACAGTGTATTTTTTTTTAAAATTGACAAAATGTTTATTTTACAGTAATATAAGGAAAGGGTATTTTCCTCCATTAGTACGCTCTTTGAGTCAACATCCACATCCTCCTGTTCTCCAGAGTTTAGAACTGATGCTTGGTTCTGTTGGCCCAATCAGAGAAGTTCTGGACCCCCTTCTCTGCGCAGATTCAGACCTCCTATTGGGGCCCTATTCGTCCTTCTTCTTTCTTCTTCTAAAACAAATCATGATCACCCTCTTTATCAACAAAGTCCTCTCTGTCTGACTCGGGCTGTTTTTCTCCTTCATGATCCTTTCCTGTCTGACAGGTTCTGATTCGGTGGTTTCATCCTCCTCTGGGTCTGCAGCTCCTCTTCAAGTTCAAAACTTGTCTCATTGTTTTAACTCAAACACACTAAAACTGACTAAACTACACCCCAACTGTAAAACCCAAACACTCTAAATATCACAAATCTCTCAAACCTCATGACTCACTCCCACTCTCTCACGCACCAAACGCCATTCAGCTTCCGCATCTTTTTCTTTTTTTTTCCTGTAGATTTTTTCGCACTTGACAACTAACTTTGAGCCTCCATCAGAAAGGGTGGGGTAGGTTGTTTATCTGTTCGGTGGGAGTGGGAGGTGAAAGCGGAGGCTGATGGGGGGGTTTTGTTCCTGATACTGCCCATCTTTGCTGCATCCTCTAACACACTTCAGATATGACGATTTTTAGAAAAAAGATGTGTTGTGGATTATTTGTCATAACGCTGGTTTTATTTGACATCACCATGATTTAAAAACTGTTGCGTAGTTTAAAGTCTTTTCTTTTGACAAGTGTAATAGTCTCTGAGATGCTGTGTCTTTCCCGCTAGCGCAATTGAAATCAGTCATGTGACTTATGTGCCTGTGCATCGATTGACTCTAAAGGAAAAAAATACATAAGTCCGAGTAGGAGGCCCCAGACACTTGAGTAAGTGGCGAAATCGCTGCCCACCCCTCTGTTATTGAGAAGGCAGGAATTGACTGAGGTGGCCATTTTGAATTTGGTTGATTCTAAAAAGTTAGTTTGTTGTACATTATGATTACCTTATGAAGTTTCATTAAAAGTTTAAATTCATGAGATGTCTTCCTGATGCTACAGACAAATGTACAAATGCTCACAGACACAGGCAAAAAGAATATTACCCTTTAATATTTGGCAGTGGGCGATGATGGATAGACCTTCAACATTGTGCCTTGTTAACATTGGATCTGTATTTGGTGAACTTTTAGGAGGGATAAAGTCTGTGAAGGCAGTTTGTGTTCTCTTTCTCTATGTGGAAACACTTTACATTCCTTTTTTCCCCTAGTCTTTACAATGTCTTTAAAACTGAATGAACCAGGGGAAAAATAACTTCTATTTTGTGTGAAAGTCAAAGATCTTTGTTAAAGTGTTCACGCTTTTTTCATCCTTTTTAAAATACATAATTTCTGGTTCAAGTCACTGAGCTTCTGCAGCCTCTTTGTGTTCAGCAATTTATTTTTTCTTTAACTTTTGCTTCTGTTCTACCTGTAATTGCAGCAAAGTACGATTGTCTGCCACAACCGCGTAGACCCCAATGGTTCACGCTACCTGCTGGGTGACATGGAGGGCCGCCTCTTCATGCTGCTGCTGGAGAAAGAGGAGCTAATGGACGGCACCGTGGCACTCAAAGACCTGCACGTGGAGCTGCTCGGAGAGGTACTCATTTATCTTTTTCTCTCTGCTGCTTCATCTCTGTCGGTCTTCGCTCTGTTTATCCTCCCAACTGTCCTCTGGCTCTTCTCCCATCTGCTTTCCACTACCTGTCCTGACCATCTATTTTCTTGCTTGTTGATTTTCTTCTTTTGCCTTTTCTTCTCGTTACCTCGGTCCCCCTTTGTGTTACAATTGACTTTTTAATGGTTTATGGCCCCAAGAACAGCTAATGGGTCTGTCTGCTTGTACAGATGGGATGAGAGATTAAAAAAAGATTCCAGCTCTCTTTTGCCTCATTGCCTAGTTGATGCTTATCCTTTAAAAGTGGATTTAGACAATGACTGTTAATATTGTGCTTGAAGCTTTGTCTTATGTACAAGACTGACAGCATTTAGTTTGTTTCACCTTTCTCGTAATGACTCTCCTTCAAGTTTCAAGAGGTGAAAAGCCTTTTTCTGTTTCTGAGTGATGCTGCAGGCAAAAGCAATCAAGTCGACTGAGTGCTCAGCTTGAGACGGATTGCTTTTAAAAACATTCATAACTGTCTAGACTAGCTTGTGCAGACATAAGCAACTTTGGATTGACATTGTAGATACGAGTCAGTATTACCTGTGTTTCAATAATATGATATTATGACAGAGTCTAAAACATAGGTATGTTTGGAAGAACAGAGTTTTTTGTTTTTGTTTTTTCTTTTAATTTTTTCCTTTAATAGTTTAGGATAGTAAAGTTAGGTGCACTAATATTTGATGAATGATTAAACCGTAAATATTAGCATAATTTAGCTGAACGGTGTTGTGTCTGCTGTTTGTAGTGCTAAGTGTGTCAAGTAATTCGACAACAAAAAGGATTTCTCTTTAATGGGGAATTGAGTTGAAAAAACCTTTTCATTATGGCAATTAGGGATCCACTTTTTCCTCTTCCGATATCGATACAGACATCTGGGGTTTAGTATTGGTCGATACCGATTCGTTGCCGATATGATACAGAAAAACCGTGCTGAATTAACTTAAAACTTTATTTTTTTTTTAAACGCAGACATAAATGTACTGAATTACAAATGTATTGAAAACTCTGCACCAGTACAGCACACAACACACCAATAGCTTCACAAGCCTGGTCAAACATGCAAAAACAACACAACTTTAATTTGTTCAGTCAGTGCAGTTATGAGTATAACATCCAGTGTAAAATAAATAATAAAGATACTGAAACTGACAAAAACAATAGGTTAACAACTTTGGTCAAGCATGAAAAAAATAAACTTCATCAAACTTTTCAAATGGTTCAGGAATTCTAAATATAATGTAAAAATAAATAATAGGAGTTGAAATAAGAGAATAAAACAATAACTTCACTAGCTTGTTTGGCAGATATTTAAAATAAACAGCAATCAGCTCCCGTCGTTTCGGGTCAGTCACATTGTCACGATACCCGCTCAAGAATTGTTCTCGATATCCGTACTGGTACCGATACTGATATCGGATCGGTGCATCTTTATGGCAATGTGCCAAAATAATTCTGCAATTATCTTTGAAAATGTTTTCAAATTCTTAAACAAGGTGTCACTTAGGAAGCTGGGAAATGTTATTTATTTATTGCTTGTTAAAGAGATAGATATTTGTTAATATTTTCATCCTTGACAGACGTCTATTGCCGAGTGTTTGACCTACTTGGACAACGGTGTGGTGTTCGTGGGCTCCAGACTGGGAGACTCCCAGCTTGTGAAGGTAAGCAGGAGAATGAACACAGTTGGACACAAGTGCAGAATTTATCTTAAAACATGACATTTTTATTTTTTTACAACAAGATTTTGGTGGCAAAAATCAAGAAAATGCATTTAGCTTGGCTAATTTTAAAACGTTTTTATTCACTGTGTAACTTTTGTGGTTTTTGTACATTTGCAAATGCTTTACTAACATTTTATTAACAAATTGTAGAAGCTTGGTCTTTCATTTTGAAGTATATTTTTCATTTCTGAGAAGTGTTTTTAAAGCTTGTTATGAGTTGCTTGACATTCAACATGACTGATTTTGTACAAAATACTAAATGAGGCATTTGCTGTCCAATTTATTTTGTCAATCACTTTTTAAAAGAAACCTTTCATTTCTTTGCAGCTCAACGTGGACAGCAACGAGCAGGGCTCTTATGTAACGGTGATGGAGACGTTCACCAATCTGGGGCCTATTGTGGACATGTGTGTGGTGGACCTGGAGAGGCAGGGCCAGGGCCAGGTAAACAACAGTAATGCACCGTATTTGACATAAACTTAACTTAGCAATCGACAGCTTTTGTGTTGCCGATTCTGTGTGTCCATTTCCTAATGTTGTCTGATGCAACAAGCTTTAAATAAGATATTATGACTTTTAAAATATACTTTTGAGTTTATTTGTGCAGGCTTTAATCTTGCACGTGACTCCTGAACACAGAAAATGCGCCTATTGCTGCATGGAGCATTGATTGATTTGAATCACGTTGATATCTAATGTTAAAATTCATCTGTAGTGCAAAAACTCTATTGTTTTTCATGCTTTACTGCAAAAATCAGACTACTCGGGTAATTTCCTCTGAATATTCCTACGCCCTTTGAAACTTTAAAGACCTCGCCTCGATTGTCTGCGTGTATTCTAATAATCTATCTTCCCCAGCACTGCTGTGGGGTTAATTTTGTTTACCTACAGCAAATGTCAAACAATGTGTGTGGTGAAATTAATGCGGTACAAACTGTACAGCATCTGAATGTCACAGTTAAAAGGCAGACTCGTTTTTGTATTTTTCCCCTTGGTAATTTATTTTTATTGAAATATCAAATATATGAATACAAAATATTTGTTACAGCCCCAATCCTGAAAAAGCTGAGGCATTGTGTAAAATGTTAACAAAAACCAAATGTAATGATTTACACAAATGCATAAACGCATGTATTTTTCACAATGAAGCGTGGAAAACATATCAAATGTTTAAACTGAGAAGCTGAACCATTTTTAGAACACATAGTAGTTTACAATTTGAAGAAAGCAGCACATCTGAAAGAAATTGGGACAGGGCCATGTTTCCCACTCCCTGTTCTAATTTAGGAACTGAGTAGACCAGTTGGACTTTTTGGATGGAGAGTTGTTCCACTGGTGTCTGATTCTAGCTGTCCTGGGTCTGCTTTGCTAGACTTTTCATTTCATGTTCCACCAAATCTGTTTTAACTGGTGAGACGTCTGGACTACAGGCAGGCCAGTTTAGTTCCTGGAGTCTTCTAACACAAAGATTTGTTGTTGTAATGGATACAGTATTAGGTTAACATTGTCTTGCTGAAAAATGCAAGGCCTTCCCTGAAAAAGAACTCATCTGGATGGCAACAAATATTATTCATATTATTCATACAACCTGTGTACAGGTGAATCTAAAAAAATTTGAATATTGTGAAAAAGTTTAATTTGTCAATCATTTCAGAAAGTGAAACTCATATAAAACTCAAAGATTCATTATACATAGAGTGAATATTTCAAGCCTTTTTCCCCTAGTAATTTTGATGATTGTGGCTTACAGATAAAGACGCTAAATTCAGTGTCAGAAAATTAAAATACTCCACAGCCAGTTTTTGTAACTTTGTCAGTGTGGAGAGGAGCCAAGTCCTGCTGGAAAATGAAATCATCTCCATAAAGCTCGTCAGCAGAAGGAAGCATGAAGTCTCTAAAATGTCCTGGTAGATGCTGTGATGACTGTAGACTTCAGAAAACCCAGTGGACGAGAACCAGCAGAGGACATTGGACTACTGAGCAGTAGTCCAGTTCTTTGTCTCCTCAGCAGGTAAGGGCCTCATGACCATGTCTCTGGTTCAGGAGTGTCTGGACTTGAGGAATGAGACATTTGTAGCTCATGTCCAGGTGTGATGATCAGGGTGTGACACCAGGAGTTTACAATATTGAACCTCTTCACAATATTCTAATTTTCTGAGTCACTGAATTTAGGTTTTGTTTGTTATTTGTAAACCATGAACATCAAAATGACATGAAATAAAGGCTTGAAATGTTTCCCTCTAAAATAAAAATACAAGTAGTGCCTATAGTGACCTTCATTAACGCTCCGGTTAGCGTGACGTGCAGCTGCTGTACGTACATGATTGACAACAAAAATTGAACTTTTTCACAGTATTCTAATTTTTTGAGATGCACCTGTATACCTTTCTGCCATGATGGTTCCTTTCCAGATGTGTAAGCTATGCACTGATGACAGGCTGGATAGCACTGCTCCTCTTTGCTTCAAAGGACACGGTGTCTGTGGTTTCTTAAAATAAATTAAAGTTTTGTTTTATTTGGCTACAGAGTAGGTTTTCACTTTGCCTCTGTCCATTTTAAAATGAGTTTTCTGCTAGAGAAGACATTTCTGGATGGCGTTCCCTTGTGGTGTCTTTTTTGCATGATAGAGCTTTAACCAGCATTTGTGGGTGACATAGTGAAATGTGTTTACAGACAAGGTTTTGTGGAAGTGTGCCCGGGTCCATGCAGTGATGTTCAGAACAGAATCAGGCCTGCTTTAAATAAAGGTTTTAATGCTGACGTCCAGTAGATCACTACGGTCTAACTGGTTTCTGGCCTTGTTCTTTGCACAGAGGTTTCTCCAGGCTCTTGAAATCTTTTGACGATATTATGAACTGTAAATGATGGAATATTGTGACTATTCCCAGTTTTCCGTTGAGGAACATTATTCTGAAATTGCTTTAATAATTTTAGAAGCAGTTTTTCACAGACTGGTGATTCAGCCTCTTGTTAATGCTTTTTTTTAATTTTTTACCTTATTCTCTTACTGACCTATTGTCAATTATCTTAATTGCATACAATTTACTTTTATTGCCTTTTTGAGATTTATTGCTCCCCTAATCTCCTAAATTATCATTTTTTTCAATAGTACAGTTTCTTAGTTCAGTAATGTGATATGTTGACTGTAATATATAATGTGAATTTAGATTTGCAAATCATTGCATTTTGTTTTTAAACATTTGACTGAACATCCCAACTTTGTCAGAATTGGGGTTGGAAATGCTTCAACTTTTGATGGATTGTCTTTCATGCCTTTAGCATGTTTTTCCAAAACTACTGCAGAGTTTGATAAATTAATTATTTGTCTTTTTTTTGTATCAAATCTGTGAAGCAGTGGGAGATGAACCAATCAAATTTAGATTTTGTTGGCTGGATTAGACAACAAGCTTCAGGGCACTGAATGATTCCAGAGGCATCGGTCCATAAGAGCATCAAGCCACTTAGCTGGGCACAGACCAGCACACCATCAGCCAACGACTGCTTGCACATGCACACTGTGTCTAATTCGTTTTATTCTGTTGACGTCCAAAATTAAAATCTAATCCCAGTTGTTTTAATTTGCCATTTGCTGCAAATCTGTAGATAATTGATGAAGACACATTCCAAAACTGTTGGGAGACTGATTCATAAACTGCAGAATGAAATGAAACCTGACCTGTCTCAGAAAGAGCAGTGCAGTCAAGCCTCAAGATTATGGTGACAGATGTGCCTACATAAGATATAAACAGAGCTGGGAAGATTATCAGGAGGCTGGACGTCACGTGAGAGTCCAGCGCAGGAAGGCATTCGAGAACAAGCTCGGGTGGAATTAAATGGGTTGCCAGGTTCATTGTGACTTTTTCCATCAGGGTGAAACTGTTGGGTGGCAGGTGGCACAGGGTGAGATTATGTGAGCTCTGGTAATAATCCTGTTATTGCAGCGTGACTGGATGAATAAATAACATTCTGGTGCACACTCCAGTGAGGCTGCACTGACACCACAATTATTAACCTTCAGGATGTTGGTTCTTAACCTCTGTCAAGTTTCTTAATGAGAAGCTTTACTTTGACCTCATTCACCAGTAATATTTATGCCTTCATTGTGCATGACAAGAAAAGGCTTAAAGGCCTAGCAGTACGTCAAAGGAATCCATATTACCCTTTATGCTAGAGTTTTTAACTGAGATTATTTTATTATGAGAAGGCAGTGTTTCCCCTACCATTATACAGGCGGGGTGCCCCACCCCGTCAACAGAACTGAGCACCCCGCCTACCAAACTGAACTTGCCCCTCCCACCCCCACCCGGCACTGACATATCACTAAGCTAGCAGCGCAAAATACAGGCGCTCTGGCTAAAAAGCCAAAGGCAGCACTCACATAGCCTCTTCCCTCATGTTGAACGCCCCCTGCCCCCCCCGCTCAAAAACTGTTAATACAAGATACGCTCAGACATGCCTCCGTCCCCCCATCAGCAAAAAATCATGGATGAGATGAGCACCCCGCCATGGCGAGCAAACTAGGGGAAACACTGGAGGGGATGGAATTGTAGCTGTTTTTGTCAAATCTAGAAAACATTTTCATGCACACACACATGCGATATTTCGAGAACTTGTGTGGTCTGTTATTGCTCAACATATATGTTGGGGTGGATCTCAGCTACTCCCACACCACATCCTAGCTTCGTAGCTTTAAACTTGACTGAGGTGTAGCCGTTTTTGTATTGGCTTAGTGTGGTGGCCATCTTGAATTGGGTGGATTCCTAAAGTTAATCAGCTTTAGATGCACATCCATTACCGTAATTGCCGGTCTATGAGCGTACCCGAATATAAGTTGCACACACACACACAAAACAAAACAAACAAACTTTTTTGTACACATATAAGCCGTGCTTGTGTATAAGCTGTGGGTGTTCACATTGTAACATGAGCACAGCTACTGACAGAGATGTACAGCTCTTGTCGTAGACCAAGAATGAACCACCAGATGGCGTCTTATAGACTTTATCTTACTGTTCAACACACAGAGACAGAGTGAACCCCTCAGGTCTTCATGACAACTACCTCCCTCTCTCATGGTTACTCTACGGAATGGCATATAATGAACACAAACTAGGCTAAGAAGAACAGACTAATCTCTAAAAAATATGCTAAACAGCTAACCGAAATGATTAGCAATGAACATAAATTGAGGCCTTGTGACCGGCAGTCAACCACAATGGACCAAAGAATGCTACAATATGTACCGGTAACATACATAAATATGTACAGTCAATTTTTTTTGTTTTTCTGAACGGTGCCGGTAACATGGCTGGTTAAAAAAAAATACAGCAGACCACCAGGAAGTCATTGATTGCTATATTCCTCCTGCTGCAATCTTGTGCTTTGGAGCAAAATTGCTCTGTGAGCATGTGAGACTCACATGCTCTGCACATGCTGGGGAATCCTCCTTCCACTCTCTCCTCTCCTCCCTGTTTCAATGGTTCAACTGTGACCTGTTCGGTTATTTCACTGGTCAGATTATTTATTCATTTATTTATTTTTTACCTTAATTTATACAGATAGTTTCATCAATACACATCTCCCTGGGTGGGGGTGGGGGGGGGGCCCCTCCTCGTGACTCATTGAGACTACCTAATTGGTTTTATTGTGGTCAACTGCTGATCATATGGCCTCATAGAGGGATTCTGGGTAAAATTTACGTTCATTGTTAATCCTTTTAGTGAGCTGTTTAGCATTGTTCTTTTCGCGATTACTAGTCTGTTCTTGTTAGCCTAGTTTATGTGTTAGTTTGTGTTAGGTCATTCAGTAGAGTAACTATGAGTCAAAGAGGTAGTTGTCATGAAGATCTGTGGTGTTCACGAGGACCCACCCCCAAAGAGAGACGTGTATTGGGCAGCTATGCGAGTGCTCGAGTGTAACGAAGCTAAATGTTTTTGGCAGCAGGAAGCTCGTCAGCCCATTAAAAATAAAAATCCATAAATTAGCTGCTGCGTTGTATAAGCCTTGGAGTTCAAAGCCTGTGAAAAAAGTAGCAGCTTATAGACCATGAATTATGGTATTTATTTTCTGAGAGTTTTATTCAAATCCATCCTGTGGTTAACGACATATATTTCTAATAGACAAATGAATATGCACACACATTGACGCAAGCAACATTATGACTTTCTGCAGTTGATCTATTATTATAATATTGATAACGTTGCGTTGGGCAGTTTGTATGTTTGAGGCATTAAAGATGAACTCATTGCAAGAAAATCTATCCTGATTCATCTCCATCAAACTAAACCAGTGGATGAGAGTCTGATTGCTAATGATTTGCCTCATTAGTTTTCCTTTTTGCTAACGTCAATAAGTTTAATTGTCTGTAATTAGTGCTCAGTTTTCAGAGATTAAAGTCTGTAGCTTTCAGTATCTATAATGAATGTCAAAGATGGATTTATTGATAGTATAAATTAAAATCTAGGTTGTTTGTGTCTTTTAAATTTAAAGTAATAGGGAAAAAAACAAGTTATCTGAAAATTGAAGAGTAAAAACATCAGTGACACATGTATGACAGAGCCAGCCATAAAATAAAATAAAAAAAATCCTGTATCTCTCTCCATGTCCTTGTCTGTCTTTGTGGATTCCAGCTGGTAACATGCTCAGGTGCATTCAAAGAGGGCTCTCTTCGGATCATTCGGAACGGCATTGGGATTCACGAGCACGCCAGCATCGACCTACCGGGAATCAAAGGTTTGCTTGTTCCGTCTGTGTATCTCTGTGTGTCTTCTGACAACTTCCTCTCAAGTCCCGACTTTACCTAGCCCCTAATACTCGACTGACTTCACAGCAGAGCCACTTCAACCTGCACATCTGCTCACCTCACCAGCCAGCGTGCCAGCTGTTGCTCATCCAGGCTCGGCACACGGATGCGAGCAGATGGTGCTCGTGTCACAGGTCTCGGCTTGTTACTTTCAAAATGCCAGGATGATTGCCAGTGTTAGGTTTGGCGACGTTTGTTTTCATTTAGTAAAGCAAAGAGCTCTCCGGTGTATGCTGCATTAAACAGTCAAATAGAGAAATGCCATCGGATTTTAACGACCTCTTAATCCTACAAAATCAAGTTCCCCTCAAAGGATTTGTTTGATGCTTAAATAAGACGTGCGGGCCAGTAAAAGGTCTGCTCGTACTTGTTCAGCCTCAGCTGTTTATTGACACGCTCAGCCCTAAAAGTCCCAGCTGCTGGCTCCTGCCCCTGGCCTTTTGATGAGGGACAATTATTCACTTAGCCAATCAATGACTTTCTGAGAAGAATCTGCAACCTGTTTATCTTCTAGCATGTTTGCATTGAACAGATGGAACGGTTAAAGACTGGCTCCTGGCTGGATTCTTCATTTCTGTTGTTGTGTCGCAGAAAATAACTTTCTTTAATAGCTCTGAGTTTTCCAATTCTCTAGGTTTGTGGCCGCTTCGATCTGAAGCTGGCAGGGAGACGGATGATATGCTGGTACTGTCTTTCGTGGGTCAGACCCGGTAAGCGCTTGCTGTGCAGCATGCCAGATTAGTATGGCATCCATTGTGATTGCTCAACACTGAGTGTGTGTTTTTCTCCCTCAGAGTGTTGATGCTGAGTGGTGAGGAGGTTGAGGAAACTGAGCTGCCGGGCTTTGTGGACAACCAGCAAACATTTTATTGTGGGAACGTCGCACACCAACAACTTATTCAAGTTTGTACACATACACACACTAAAACACACAGCACATTTCTCAGTTAGACACCAGTTTGATGTCTGTTTTGAAAAATATCTGATCCAAAACATCAAAGTTCATGCTCAATAATCCAGGTAGAAAATCCAACAAAGTTCAGTCAGATCATCTGGACGCTTTCTTTTTTTGTTGAAACGTTTCGCCCTTCATCCAAAGGACTTCATCAGTTCAAGCATCCACAACAAACTCTGTCTCACAAGCAGCACACTCACATAGTGGACCAACCAGTTTACTGGATGGTTTCTAGGGCCCGCCCTCTCCCTCGTCAACTCTGAGGCAGCCATAGCCGAAGTGGTTCAAAACATCAAAGTTCAGTTTTGATGAAGGACGAAATGTTTCAACAAAAAGAAACCGTCCAGATGACCTGACTGAACTTTTTTGGATTTTCTACCTGGATTATTGAGCATGACCTTTGATGTTCTGAACCACTTTGGCTATGGCTGCTTCAGAGGAGTCGACGGGGGAGAGGGCGGGCCTCAGAAAACATCTTACCACCAGCAAACTGGTTGGTCCACTATGTGGGTGTGCTGCTTGTGGGACTCAGTTTGTGGTGCCTCCTTGGACTGATGAAGTCCTTTGGATGAAGGACGAAATGTTTGAACAAAAAAAGAAACCATCCAGATGGCCTGACTGAACTTTGCTGGATCAGACTCAAAGTATTTATACTGCAATTCAAACCAAAAATGTCCTCTAATTTCAAAAATTCAAAGTTATCCCTCAAAATTAAAATTTTATTCAGACCTTTTGCTATTTCATAAGATATACTTTGCTCAAGCAGAATCATAAATGATTGAGAGTGGCATTCCTGAGGATGAAGGACGCAAAAAGACTCTGTGTACTTTACACTTGCCTGTGATGGATATTGTACTTCATTTAAATTCAACTTTCTGTCTGCTTTTTTTAAATGAAGATGAGACCTGCTGGGAATTTTGCCTAAAGTTAGACCTTAGCCATTAATCTTTAGGTTGTTATGACAACCCTCTTCACATTTTAATGCTAAAAATGCTTTTTTATCTCTTGTATGTTTCAATGAAAATTCATAATTTACTCTGGGGGAAAATGCATTATTTTCTTTTTTAAGGCTTTTACTCCATTCTTGCTTTATGAGCTCATACAGAGTTAGTATCTTAGAGGTTTAATATTTTTAAACTTTCATTAAAACAGTCTGTTCATCCTTCATCCAAAGGACTTCTTCAATTTTAGGATCCACCAACAAACAAACCTGATTCTCACAAGTAGCGTACTCCATAGTGGGGAAAAACAGTTTGCTGGTGCTAAGATGCTTAGCATTAACTAGTTAAAAACAGTTTTTTCCCACTATGGAGTACCGTATTTTCCACTCTGTAAGTCACAGTTTTTTGCATAATTTGCATGCCCTGTGATTTATAGGCCGAAGCGACATATTTATGGATTTTTCCCATATTTATAAACCATTTTTTTGGTTGAGATATGACCGTTTTCATTCATTCTGACTGGAAAAACAAAATTGAGTTGTACCACTTTCAGCCACTTGATGGGAGCAGAGTAGTAAAAGTATGGCATGCTGTTGTATCATGTAATAGGTAAACGTGGCTATAATGACAAATTCAAAAAAGTTCAAGACAAAAACAACTGGACTTTATTTATTATACTTTTTACTGTATTGTTTTTGTCTTGCACTTTTTTGAATTTACCATGTCCTGGATGACTGAGAATCTTCACCAGCTATTAATGACTCAATCAGCTTGCTATACCCTGCCACCTTCATTCTGCTCGCTGCTTGGACCGACTCACACCATCTGCACCACCCTGCTGAAATGCAGCTAATTTGACCATTAAAGTGCATTTATTAACAAACGTTAGACTGAGACACACATTTACTATAATTTTGAGCAAACAAATTATTGTTTTAGGTGCTTTTCTTGTAAAATTTTGAAGAAACGAGGCGTGTTCCTCCTTTTTTTTCCCCTCTGCGGGTTCCCGGAGCACCGAAGCAGCAAAACTTTTTGAAGTTCAGCTAACTTGACCATTAAAGTGCTTTTATTAACAAACGTTAGACTGAGACACACATTTACTATAATTTTGAGCAAACAAATGATTGTTTTTAGGTGTTTATCTTGTTAAATTTGCACAGCGACTCGTCGCATGCATCCGTTTACTTCCGCGTATTGGCTTTTGAAAAACAGCTGATTTGACCGTCAAAGTGCATTTAATAAGCAAAAGTTAGACTGAGACAAACATTTACTATAATTTTGAGCAAACAAATAATTGTTTTTAAGTGTTAATTTTGTTAAATTCTTGTTAAAGTCCTCTCATGCACACTCCCGTGGTCGCCATTTGGCAGCCCATCGATTTTTGGCACAACACCGGCCCACATTTCCAGGTCGTCAGCGGTAACGCGCAACAAACGCCATGCGTCAGCGGTGACGCATAATAGACACGACGTATATGGCGAAGCGACATATTTATGGATTTTTCCACTTTATTAGACAAATATGGGCTGAAGCGACCTATAGGCCGGAGCAGCGTGTACGGTAGAAAATACGTTTTGCTGTACGTATGAATCAGTTTGCTTGGTGGCTTCTCAGATTGAAGAAGTCCTTTGGATGAAGGAACAAACGTCTCGGCAAAAAAAAAAAAAGAAAGAAACCGTCCAGATGACCTGACTGAACATTGTTGGTCTTTTACCTGGATTATTGCGCATGAACTTTGATGTTATTTCAGTTTCATTAAAATCTTTTCAGTGTTTTGTGCGATCTGTTGCCAAAAGAAAAGCAGGTTTGACTGTAATGGGCAACGCAAAAATCTTAGGCAAAGATGTTGTGCGACGTGTAGAGTTAAGGGTTGTGATGGACTCTCAGCTGCATCCACTACCTGTATAGTTTACAGTTTTTCATTTTAAACATTTTAGTGTTTTTTACAGGCAGTTGGTTGTGGCAACCATATTTAATGAGGCTGGTTCCAAAGAGTAGCTAGTTGTAGCTCTACAGTATATCCATGTTTTTTCCCAAAAGTTTCATTAAAATCTGTCCAGTTGTTCAAGAGATGTTTTAAACTTTATCTATAGATGTTGCATAATCTGTTTGCACTCAAGGTATGTGTTGTGAATCAGTCTCAGCTATCACCTCAAAACTTTAGGTCATATCTGTAAAAGTGACTGAGTTGTAGCAAGTTTCGAGTCTTCAGAGCTTTTGGCTGTGGTGGTCACTTTGATTTGGGTTAACGTCAACACGGGTTGACACACATGAACACAGACACAGGCAATAACATGTTTGTCTGCCTTCTCCTTTTGGGAATAAGCAATTAAATCAAAGTACTGTGGTAGAAATAGCTTGGAGTACTGGAATTAATTGAGTACGAATGATAGATTTTAGAAATTTACAGTTTCGGTCTTTTTTCTATTAATGTATAATATATTTACATTAGAAACTGTAGACATAGTGATACTTATTTATAAGCAATGAATCAAAGGACCACATGCATCATAAAAGTATTGCTTTTAGTGCCAAACCCAATGAGTTAATGGCTGACTTTGCAGCCTTCTGCAGCCTTTAGCCTTGTTGTGGCTCATTATTTTGGCCCATCATCGTGCACATACACTGTGTGCCTGGGCTCTGCTCTTTTTAATTAACCTCGCAGTAAAAACTGTATGCAGCTCATTCTGCTAAATGAGTTCGAGCAAGTCAACTGTGCCAGCCTACTCGGTGCGTTATCGCTAAAATCTAAAAAAACGCAGGGGGGTAAACAATGCAGCGTGTCAGAAAATGCCTCCTCTCAGGGGGAATCAGAAAGCTAAAGACTACTGGATGTGGAAATGAATGAGCAATTGGCCTAAACACAATTTTAGATCAACACACCGCTCAATCAAATTAACTGTTTGCCACTTAGGTCCAGATTGAAATCTCAATAGACCTAAATAAGTTGATGAATGCAAAATACACTGGGAGTCCCTAGACAAAAATCATAATCATTTGTGCCGTCTTTCTTCTACTTTTGTTTTCTTTTCCTTAGAATAACTCCAAATTATTTATATTAGCTATATTTGTGGTTTGAAAGAAATATATAGCCGTGAAATTCTGTTCAGATGTTCAAAATCACTACTTTAAATGTTCAAAGGTTGATTTCCCAGCTCGTTCAACACAATCCCCTTGACACAATTCCTAATTGTGCCTAAAATTGTTTTGTTACTCAATATCAGCTAAATCGGCCATACTTGATGCTTAGCGCTAATTAAGAAAGTTGTGTTAAACTGCAAATTTAGCATTGTTGTAACGTTGAAAACGGCCTGTTAAGCATTTTTTTGTTTTTAGCACATCAGCCTGCAGATAGTGGCTTCATGCTAAAAGCACCGTTGTGGTGAGGTCGCTCACAGAGCCCCGAGTTTGGCACAAAACAGAAACAAACAAAAGAAATCATCTAACACTGCTGGTTGACGTTATCGGTGTGTTGTAATGTAACACCGAAGAAAAACATCTTTAACATTCACAAAAACTGAACCCACTTCTGTCTCTTTGAACAGCCTCCGACTGCAAACCAACACAATCATTAGAAATTGAACCATTTAGTTTTCTGCGGTCTGCAGTTGATTTCAAGGATTCTGTTCAGGATCTTACGTTGAAAATATGCTAGTTTCACATCTCATTACTGCACCACATTGTTTGCTCTTTTTTTTTTACCCCCCAAAAGTTCAACACCTCGATTTGTAGTTGGACTCTTCTTTGTACCAGCAGTAGTCTTTTAATGAGGTTTTTGTAGATTCTGGATAGTTTCTTTAAATTCTTGCCTTTTTATTAGTTTGTGGCTTATTTTAAATTATAAAATGTTAAATTCTGAGTTTGCATTTTATCAAAAACAGAGGTGCGATATTCTCAAGCAGTGTTTCCCCTAGTTTACGTACCTTGGCAGGGTGCTCTCTTCTGTGATTTATTTATTTTTTTGTCAAGGGGAGGGGTGCCCGCTGCTCCACTGGTGTGTGATGGGTTAAATGTGTAGCACAAATTTCATCATTGTATGGGAACATGCATTGATGACAACACATAGCACTTTCACTATTATTCAACTTATTCTTGCAATGATGGTACTAAATTGTTCATTAACGGAATAAAATTTGTACCGTGTCTAGTAAACACGATGTCAGCCCAGGCTTTTGTTTATCTTGGACTCATATTCAACATTTTATCCTTTTTTGAACATTCAGGTTCTGTTTGCTCAACCAGCGTTGCAGAAAGTCACCTTGTTCTTTTCAAACACCATTTGAACATCTCCTGGATGCAACAGCTTAATTCACTGGAGAGATTTAATAGGAATTATTTTTAAATACATTTTTAGAATAAACAAATCTGTTTTACAAAAAAAGATTGAATTAAAACCATCCTTACAGAAGGTTAGATTTGCAATTGTGACTAAATACACAGCATAAATCATTTTACATAGTTTGACTGTCGTCTTAATAGCTGCTGCCTTTTTCCAGAAATGTTTCCGTTTCTCCAAAGAGAAAAACCTTTGTCCTTTCAGATCACATCAGGCTCTGTGCGCCTGGTGCTTCAGGACAGCAAGGCGTTGGTGAGTGAGTGGAAGGAGCCGCAGGGGAAAAACATCAGCGTGGCTGCGTGCAACCACACACAAGTAGTGCTCGCTGTGGGACGGGCCCTGTTCTACCTGCAGATCTTAGCCGGCAAACTCAAACAGATCAGGTAGGACACAGTCCAGGTCTCACACATACAGGTGTGACTGCTGAGCCACGTTATTGTTTCTCTTTATAGTTTCTTTTGTCTTTTTCTGAACTCTACTTCAGCGTGCTTTCATCTATTTTACCCATTCAGGTTTCAAACTGTTCAGTTCATTCAGGACATTAACGCTTTGATGTTTGGTTTCTGTAACTTTTATACCTTTTGAAATTACTGTTTTGTCAGATTTAGCTTTAAGCTATTGCTCTGACAGGTTTAGCTTTCAGCTACTGTTTTCTTAGATTTAGCTTTCAGCTAACTGTTTTGTCAGGTTTAGCTTTAAGCTATTGCTCTGTCAGGTTTAGCTTTCAGCTACTGTTTTCTTAGATTTAGCTTTCAGCTACTGTTTTCTCAGGTTTAGCTTTAAGCTATTGCTCTGTCAGGTTTGGTTTTCAGCTACTGTCTTGTTAGGTTTAGCTTTTGGCTACTGTTTTGATAATGTTAGCATTTTGCTACTGTTTTCTCAGATTTAACTTAAGGTACAGTTTTGCTAAGTTTAGCATGTAGCTACTGTTCACACTGTTTAGTACAGTTCACTCTGTGTTTTCACAGAAAAGTTTTTTTCTCGTTTTATTTTTGAATTTGTCGTCAGTACCGGAGCTTCTTGTTGAATTCTTGCCTCGGTCTTTCTTGATTCCTTTAAAACTCGTCTGTGTTCATGAAATTTGTACATTTGAGCTTTTCAAAGTCTCCTCCTCACAGAGTGAGAGAGAGTTCAGCTACAATCACTACAATAATCACTATAAAATGTATACAGTGTGTGAGGGATGATTGCTCACTTTCTCCTGCAGCTTAAAGCTAAACCTGACAAAACAGTAGCTGAAAGTTAAACCTGACAGAGCAATAGCTTCAAACAGGTATTCTTGAACTTTTCCATGCCGTGGCCCCCAAACAGCATTAGCTTCTGGCCGAGGCCCCGTCTCAAACCCAGAAATGCTACAAAATATGTAAAGAAACATCTACTTTTAGAATGCTTTAACTTTTATTCACTATATTCAATTTATTATTACAACTGCTGAGCATAAAAATGTTATTAACTAACATATTTTAAACAATTTATTATATTTCCAATGAAAAAAACAACAACTTTTCAACAAACTTTTGACCAGAAGAACAAAACTAAAAAAATCTAACTTCTCTCTCAAGCGTGTTTTTCTGAAAATGACAGATACAGATTGCCCTAGTTGGCAATTTTTATTATTATTATTACAATTTTTTTATTTTTGCTTTTTCCATCTTCTTCTCTCCAGCTTTCTGCCCCCCCTTCCCCCCACACACACTTTGAAAAACACTGGCTTAAAGCACTTTGGTAACAGTTTTTGTTTTAAATGTGCTTTATAAATAAATCCGACTTGACTTGCTGGAATGAGACTTCTACAAACATTCAACAGTCAACTTGATAATTAATCAGACTGTTTGAACTGGAAACATAAAGTCTCACCTTATCTGCACAGTTTTGTGTTTAAGTATAAAAACTGCACAGGTTAAACCATTAGTTGACGAGGTTCTTTTTAGAGCAGACATTTGTCTCAAATGAAAAACGCTTGTTTGGTAATTATTTAGTTAATGTTGCACCACAGCCACGAAGAAGCTAACAAATGAAATATGCAAATTTCTGAACATAACAGCTGCACTAATGTTGAATCATTTGCTATATTTCCTGTTTTTCTTTATGATTTATAGTTTTGTTTTTTTAATGTGTTATTGTTCTGCATTGTATAACTTTAATTTTGATGCATTTTGAATAATAAGTTTGTATTATGCCCCAGCCTGAAGGCCCTCAGGCACACCGTATGTAACCTGGAGCAGCATCAGGGTGTACCAGTCTGAGTACGATCAAGTATAAATGTTTACTTTTATGTTGTCTTTGGATGCCTATTGCAGTAAAACAGAATGCAAAGATGTTTTTTTTCTCTGAGATGGAGACATGTTTGCAGCAGGGCCACAAGGGCCGCTCCAAGCACAGTCTTTGTTTGCATCTTTAAATGATTGTAAATAATGAAACAGACTGAGTAAGATGTCTCGTCTGAGCGGAGAACTTCTGTTTGGATGGCATCAAAAAGTGCCTGTTTAGCTGGAAGTTATGCAATTCTGTAAAAGCTACACAGACCTAGTTTATAAATGGTGGGTAAAAATGAATTGCTTCTGTTTAAAACCTTGTTGTAGTTAAAGTACTATAATGCTACCCAATCTTTCTTCAACGGATGACACTATATTAAATATTTCACACCAGTTATTTGTTTGACGCAAATCAGAATTCAAAATATTTGTAAAAATCCGTACGATAAGTGATAAAATTAACATATGCATCCTTAGAACTACAACACCTACAGTATTATTCTGTGCAAAATGGCTTGTGCTCTCACACTAGAGAGGAGTTGTTATGGAAATCATGAAGATAAAATCCCATCGTAGTTTTTGAGATAATAATAGTCCTGTGATAACTTGGTAGTGTGACCTCACTGCTTGACTCAACATCTGTTTTAACGTTTATTAATTGGCATAGCTCATGAGATTAGAAATCAATTTGAACTTCTGCTCTGTGTCACTAACACAATTATCTCATGAGCTATTTTAGTCTGCTGCGTGTTTCAAAGTTTACGCTCTGCAGAACATGCAGGGAAGCTCGCTGATGTGTTTGTCCACTCTTCCTCCCCAGTACCACAGAGATGGAGCATGAGGTGGCCTGCTTGGACATCACGCCTCTGGGGGAGGGCGGAGGCGAGTCGCTGCTCTGCGCGGTGGGCCTGTGGACTGACATCTCTGCGCGCGTCCTTAAACTTCCCTGCTTCACCCCATTGCACAAGGAAATGCTGGGCGGAGGTGAGAGAAAGGAGAGACTGAAGTTCTCAGACAGGAAACGGGGAGAGCTGGTACCGACTTTAAGAGAAAACATCCAATCAGTTGGATCAAAACCATATTTCTGTTTCCCATCTCTGTTTCTGGATATGTGCAAAAGCAAAGAAGGAGAAAAAAATCTTAAAACATCTGAATTTTGGACCTAATTTAGCAAAAATAAATAAAACAAATCAATACTTTTTTAAATAAATTATAATTGCTTGAACTTAAAGATAAGCTTTTTGTAACCATCTCTCATAATCAGTGTTATTTCAAGCAATGATCAAAGGAGCTCCTCGGTAGAATCACCACCATAATGTGGTGGAGGGGTTTGAGCACCCCCATGATCAGTGGGTACGATGTTGTTTGAGGCATCAGCACCTAGTTGGTGAATTGACCTCAGGAGGGATCAGGCTTGAGCTATATGAAGACCTTGATAGAGGAGGATTACAGATGAAGGCAACCAGGGCTCCATCAAGGAGCCAGGAGCTTGTCTTTGAATGTCTGGTTGTTGAGCCTTGGCCCCTGAGGCTCGGCCGGTGCAAGTCAGAAAAATAATCTAGAAAGCCATCTCATATAAGCACCTGTGGGGAGAGCTGTCGACGTCTGGTGCTTGTAAGCTGAGCAAAAGGCAGGAGGCTTCCCAGGCGTTCTGATTCCTGGCATCCCAAACCAGTTTTAGGTTCAATGAACGTCACCATACTCAAAAACCAGAGCTTGTCAGTGAGGTTGAACAAGACTAAGTAGATATAGATGGACTTACCTCAACACAGTTTGGGATCTGGAGCCCAACTCTAGAGAGAGGCTCCTACTCTGAACAACTCCATTGTTGAAACTGTGAAGCTGTCCAGGGAAAGAGGCATTGGTCAAGTGTGGGGATCGTCACAAGCCCCCGGTGTCCCTTAATGTTTGACTTGTCCCCTGTGAACGATCGGGTCCCTTTGCTGCGACTCCAAGCTTCAAGAGGTTCTCACTGTTCTTTGTACTAACGCACCTGAAGCAGTTCAGATTACCTGGCTGTCTTGAAGTCTCTGGACGTTGTCTTGGAAGGAGTGCTTCTGCGAATGTTGTTCTCCTGTGGGACTTGAGTCAGCACAATGGTGAGATCACCTAGAATGGGTCCATGCATGACCTTGAATGACTCCCTGCTGAGTATGAAGCAGCTGGCATGAGTTTGGGCTCCTCTAAGGCTGAGGCCATGGTTCTTCACAGAAAAAAGGTGGAGTGCTCCCACGGGTTATGGTGTAGGCATGTCACAATAACAAATTTTTCTGGGCGATTAATTGTCTCAGAAATTACTGCGATAAACAATAATATTGTGTAAAATTTGACAATAATTAGTAATTATTGTCAAATTTAAGAAGAAATCTTGGTTCATTTGTTTTGAGTGTAGTACCTTTTTTGACCACCTGATGGCAGTATAAAAGACTGTTGGAACCAAAGGATGGATAGTGAGGGAGCGAGCAGTGTGTCTCTTTAAGAAAAATGGGAGGGCAGCCCCTTGACGTGACATGGGCTGTCTCTCTTTCCTTTTTTTCGGTTCTCAAAGTGGCGGATGCTCAGCTTGGTTTGAACTCTTTAGCATAGCATTTTCGCACAAAGTTTTTAATTAAAAAAATCAGTAAACAAGTTCTCAGCTTCTTTTTTCAGAGAAAAACAACCTTTTACAAGAAGGCACAGGTTTCATTCATGAATTTTGGAGCTTCGACAAGACAGAAGTTTTTTCCCCCGAGGTCGGCCTGTTAGCTTAGCTCGTAGCTTAGCTTCTCAGCTTAGCTGCTTTTAACGATTCAAAAACGCAGTTTTGGACGGTTAAAACAGATTTTAAAGAGAAAAGAAAAAGGGAGGGGTCAGTGAAGAGCACCGGAGTTGAACCTTTTGTCATCCAGTGTCTTCAGTAGAAAGAGAGAGACACAAAGAAACGATAAAGATGATAAATGAAAACGAGGTCGATAATTTTCATTTATCATGCGATTAAGTGATTTATTGTTTATTGCAGCAGGCCTGTTAGGGTGAGTCTCTAATAAGAAGAAAAAGATGGATTGATTGAACGGTTGTTTGATTAATCCATCGTACTAAGTCCTCACATTCATACCTGGTGTAGGAAAAAGATTAAATATAATCTTAAAGGTACGAGATTTGAAATGCCCAACAGTGAAAGAAAATGTTTAAACTCGTAAAATGTTTTCTCATCTGATAACGGCTTATGTGGAAAAACAGAACATTGACGGTTAATTATGATTAGTTCAGTTGTTTTGGTCTTTTGCTAAGAATTAGAAATAAAACTTTTTTCATCTATGGTTTGGTGATCATGAGGCCAGAGCCAGCAGACACTTATTTTACAACAAGGAAAACTGTGTGCTCGGATCTGATAAAACCCCAAATGTTGCATCCATTAAAATTATAAATTAACTTCTCTTGTAGGTTTTATTTGGGACATTAAATTTCTTTCATCTCGCTCATTAACTACATCTGCTTTGGCCTCAAAAGTAGTTCTGCTAACACAGCTATTTGTTGTTTTAAAAAGTCTCTGATATTTCTCATACGTACCAGGTTGCAGCTTTTTTGGATGAACTTTGCCAGACTTTGCTGCATGAGGAGGGTACAGGTGGTGAAACTACAACTTTTAAAAGCCTAATGAATAAATCCAAGGCGTCTAATTTAATTATATAATGTAAATGACCTCTTGCATGAAGTGCCTAATATTATTTACGCTAACATGTACCTGACCAGCTCTTATCAGCTATGCTGCTTTTAGTGTACCATTTAAACACTTATAATAAGTATTTATGAGAAGATGTGCAGAAGAAGTTCACGTCACGGCGATCGGGCTCAGATAGGATTTATTCTTCCAATTCAAATGATTTAGCCAAGAAGAACGGCTCCTTACATTTTTTCCACTGCATTTGATTGACAGCTGTTCAGTGCTCAAACTTTATAATTGTGTTCGCTTTTTCTTGGGGAAAAACACTGATTTGAGTGCTCAGCTCAGGCAGAAAAACTTTATGAGCTATTCAAATTATTGACATTTGGGTTCTGTCACCTGAAACTGACCTTTCTCTCTGCAGCTTTACACACTTTCCTTAAGATCTGTTCTTATTCCCCCATTGATTATGTTTCTGATTTGATTCCAGTTGAAAAATGAACGTTTTCTTTTTGACAGACTTTATTATAACACTGCTGCTCTCTGGAGAGCACTGCACCGATGTAACAAGTCTGAAGTTGGAAAAATAAAAGGCTTTGGAACTGAAAACATCTATTTTCTTTATCCTGCAGCTTACACATGTTTATCAAAGAGGTGTCTGTCAGTAGAAAAAGGCATTTTTGTAGACTTTATCACTGTTGCTGTTAACCTAAAAGTAATAACAGACTTGTTTGTTTGTGTGCGTGTCTTTCTTTCTTTCTGTTTGTCAGAAATCATCCCTCGCTCCATCCTAATGACCACCTTTGAAGGCAGCTACTACCTGCTGTGTGCCCTGGGAGATGGAGCGCTCTTCTACTTCGGTTTAGACCTGCAGACCGGTAGGTTGCCTCCCCCCGCCATCATCACTGCACCCATCAGACGTGAGCTGCTCAGACCTTTCAGGCTGATTGGTGCCTCCATGGCAGGCACATTGGCATTTTGCATGTAGAATTGTATGACTGCCAGTAAGATGCTTTGGTGGAATGGTGGAGAATCTTTTCAGGCTTTAGAAACTCATTCACAAGCTGCTATTGATCTGCTGTCATTTAATGCCTTCCTGTAAGATAAAGGCCATGATTTTATTGAAAACGTTTTGAGGCTTCCATAAAGACAACCTTCCAAATGTGACCAAATTATACAGTCTTGATATAAACAAGTACTTTTTTTTCATGCTGTTAGCACGAGATAAAATGTCTTTTTCATAGAGAGGAGCTTTTTCAATGGGAACTAATTTTCCTCTCATTTGAAGAAAAGTCTTTTATAGTTGTTGCATTGAACATATTGAAAAGACATTAATCAGTTATGAATTAGGTAACAGATGGAGAATAATTAATTGTTTAGTGTAGGGATGAACGATATTATGTTATATGTTATATATTATATTATTATATATCGGCATGGTATCGGATGATATTAGCGATAAAGTTAAATTTTGGACATCAGCCATTCCATCAAAATAACTCACTGGTATAAAAGGCGCTGTTTTTGTACGACAACCAAGTGACAAGGATGCCTGCGGTACCAACACGTTATGACATCATCCGCGCCGTTGAGTTTAGATTTGTGAAAATTTACAAATTTTCACTGTTCGAGTGTTGTCATTGTGTTGGATAGTAAATGTCATGAATAAATTTGACATTTAACATAATCAAAGTTGAAGCGTTACATCATTTTCAGTCCCTTTTTGGCATCTGCATTTGGTAGCAGGCCAAACTGACAAAGACCATGCAGAATAAAGTAGTTTTTTAATTCCACAGCAGAGAAAGCTGTGTAGTTTCTGTAAGTCGTGCATCCCTAGTTTAATGATATTGACTAATGCAAGTCTCATTTTGTGTTTGTCACTTCTATCTGTAAAAAAAAAAATGAATGCAGACATTTAATTCTTCACGTTATTTAGCTCATTAACCGTTCTGTTTGCCGTTTTGTGGTGTTATCTTATACATTAGTTTCCGTGTATGATGACCATGCAGCATGCAGATTTTAAATGTATGTGTTTAGTTATTTTAATAATCAGATATGACAGGTAAAGCAGAGCCAGCAAAAGCCTTGCAGGAGTTTCCACAAATGGCTTCTGTTTTCATTCAGACTGTAGTCTCATTATATTCCTCAAATTTAATATTTTTTGTCTTTATTATTATTTTTTGATCGATGGTGCCTGCCTGTTGAATAATTTCAAATCTATCGTTTCACATTTGCAATGAAGGCTCTCTTAAGACTTCGTTGCCTTAATTTCTGGATGACGTCACAGAAATGAAATCATTCACTCATCAAACTCGGCTGATTGCATGTCAGTGGTACATTGTTGTGTAGGAGCCACATTAAACAATTTACATCAGTTTTTAAAACTTGTGAATTAACATTGAGGTGGGTAAATGTACCTACTTATCACTGTTTAATAAAAGTGACTTTAACGTTGATTTAATTTTGAATAAATCGTTAGATTTGTCTTTTTAACAACTATTTCTTAGCCCCCTGTTTTTGTCTTTATTTAATGAGTAATTAGGACTTGGGTTACATCAATCTTCCTTTACCCATCAGGACATTAACAAGATATGAGACTTAAAAGTGAAGTGCAGTCAGGTGTTAAAAAGCTATCCATTATAGATGACTCATTATTATTGGTGATTAATGAGCAAAACAACTTTCTCAAAGACCAAAATAACATCGTTCACTTGCACGTTTTGTCAAACCATCAACCCAAATTTACCATTCAACCATAAAACTGAATATAATTCATTTAGAATCAATTAACTTAAACAAAACCACATTTTAAAATGTGGAACTTGTAAATATATGAACAAATAAGAATCGCTGCTGTTTTTTAATTGTTTTCAGTTCTAGTGTGCAGACAATCATTAAAACCTGAACAGTAGATTTGTAGTAGTTTGTGGATTTTAGGTAAACCATACAGACTAGGTGTGGCCTCCCCTGGGTACAGTCTGTGGTACAGAATACGGTCAATAGCTTCTGTCCTGTTCCAAATTTTTCAGGCAATCTATCAACTTCTTCTTGTAACCACTTCCTGGATCTCTTTTCAGAGGTTCATAAGTGGTTAAGTCACTAAGGAGTGTCATAACCTTCTCATGATAGTCTTTCTGGTTCAAAATCACTGTGCACCTTCCTTTGTCTGCTGGGAGAATGATGATGTTTTTGTCCTTGCTAAGAGTGGTGAGTGCATCCCTCTCCTCTCTACTGATTTTGGAAGGTGGTGGTTTGGCATTGCTGAGGCAGGATGAAACTTTGATTCCGAGTCGTTTTGCTTCACCCTCTTTAATTTTGTTGTTGCGGATGGCTGACACAGAATCAGCCATCCGCAACAACAAAATTAAAGAGGGTGAAGCAAAACAACTCAGAATCAAAGTCTGTATGGTTTACCTAAAATCCACAAACAAGGTGTACCTTTAAGACCAATTGTTAGCATGATTAACTCTGTCACTTACAATGTTTCCAAATATCTGGCGTCTGTACTCGTCCCTTTAGTTGGCAGCTCAGAACACCACATACAGAACACCATGGACTTTGTGGATAAGGTGAGAGATGTCATCATGGAGACTGATGAAACAATGGTCTCTTTTGATGTCACATCACTCTTTACGTGCATTCCTGTTGATGATGCAGTAGAGGTGGTCAGTTTAAAATTAAAATCAGACACCACTCTGAGCAGCAGGACCACACTTTCCACAGAACAACTGTCAACTCTTGAAACTGTGCCTGCAGTCAACCTACTTCACATATGGGGAGCAATATTATAGGCAGAAACATGGGTGTGCTATGGGGTCTCCAGTTTCTCCTATTGTTGCCAACCTGTACATGGAGGAGGTAGAAAAGAGAGCCTTGACGTCCTTTTCAGGGACACCACCAAGTCATTGGTTCAGGTATGTTGACGACACCTGGGTTAAAATTAAATCTCAGGAAGTCCAACATTTTATTGACCACATCAACTCTGTGGATAAATACATCAAGTTCACAAGAGAAGATGTAAAAAATGGCAGGTTGGCTTTCTTGGACTGTGAGGTCTCAGTCTCTGATAGAGGACATTTGCAAACTGAGGTGTACCGCAAACCCACACACACAGACCAGTATTTGCAGTTTGACTCCCATCACCCTTTGGAGCACAAGTTAGGAGTCATCAGGACTCTGTATCACAGAGCAGACAGCATCCCCACTAGCTCAGGAGCCAGGCAGAAGGAGAAATCCTACACAAAACAGGCTCTAGAGCAATGTGGATATCCTAACTGGGCCTTCCTGAAAGCAGAGAAGAAACCCAAACAGGACTCCAGTCAGCCAACAGGTGAAAAGAAGGAACCCAGACCCAGACCAGTGGTCATTCCGTATGTTGAGGGAGTATCAGAGAAACTGAGACGTTTATTTTCTAAACATAACGTCCCATTGGTTTTTAAGGCTGGTTTAAAGACTGGTTCATCCCAAAGATCCAGTCCCCCGGCACAAACAGAGTAATATTGTGTATGCTGTTCCGTGTCAGGAGGGCTGTGATCAGTCTTACATCGGGGAAACTAAACAGCCACTGGCCAAAAGGATGGTACAGCACAGAAGATCAACAACATCAGGCCAGGACTCTGCGGTCTACACTCATCTCCAGGCCAGCGGTCACTGTGATTGCTAGTATCACTCAGCCCTCTGTGAATAGTAAACAGCCATCAGTGTGCTAACGATCCATTGTTAGGCTGATGGTCTTTCTTGATCATGTGAGCAGCTGGTTTTGGTTGTCAGCAGCAAAACTGGTTGATCCACTCTGAGAAGGTGCTATTTATAAGACTTAGCTGAGTACAGCACCTCAGACTGAAGAAGTCGAAAGACGAAATGTTTCTACTTTTTTTTTGTTGTTTTGCTTTGTTTTGTTTTTTGAATGTCCAGAGGACCAGATTTAACTTTTTTAGATTTTTCTTCCTGGATTATTGAGCATGCACCGTGCTGCCTCAAATAAGTTGTTTTGCTCTATAAGTCACATCTATTATGCGTTACCACTGAGGCGTCGCATTTGTTACGCGTCACCGCTGACAACCCAGAAATGTGGGCCGGTGTTGTGCCAAAAATCAATTGGCTGCTAAATGGCAGCCGCGGGGGTGTGCACGGGAGGACTTCAACAAGAAATTAACAAGATTAACACTGAAAACATATATCTGTTTGCTCGAAATGTTAGCAAAGTCGTGTCTCAGTCTAACTTTTACTTAATAAATGCACTTTGACGGTCAAATCAGCTGCATTTTCAAAAGCCGATATGCGGAAACATGAACGCGCAGAGGGCGACTCGCTGTGCATTTCTTCAAAATTTAACAAAATAACCACCTTAAACAATTATTTGTTAGCGCAACTTTATAGCAAAGGTGTGTCTCAGTTTAATTTTTATTTAATAAATGCACTTTAATGATCAACTTAGCTACATTTCGCTGGGGCAGTGCAGTGAAATGAAGCTGATTTGACGGTTGCTCCAGGCAGACGAAGGTGGCAGGGTATGGCAAGCTGATTTTGTCATTAATAGCCACTTTAACCCATTACCTGACACACCGACATTCCATATTATTCAAGTGCTATCTAGCGGCTGAATATGGTAGTGTTCAATATTTTCAGTCAGATTGAATGGAAAACTGTCATATCACAGCCAAAAATTGTTTTATAAATACGGGAAAAAAATCCATAAATAATTCGCTTTGGCGTACAAGTGACTTATAGGGTGAAAAATATGGTAAATTCCTTCGACAATAAGTATATTCAGCCCCGTTAACTTCTGGCACTGATTCGAACAAAACAGCAGAACACCTAAAGATGTTCTAAGCGTGTCTATAAATACACATGTTTACTTTGGTTTGTTCAGATCATAGGATCACATCCACAGAGTGTATGTTAGAGGAGGCAAGATACAAAAGAAAAGAACAGACTGAGCCACACATATGACTTTTACAATGGCTGCCTGCACAAAAATAATACATAAAGCAGGACAAGGACACATAGAAAATGCAGATGCTTTTTTTTCTTACAAAGCTCAGGGGTTCACTGAGCACACAAGGACAAACACTATTGCAAATTACTCCACAGATCCAAGCAATAACCAGTACCTCCACTTTTCAGAGAAGAATTAAATATGAGCCTCAGCTTTATTCCTTTTTCCCAGGTGTCCTCAGCGAGCGTAAGAAAGTCACCCTCGGCACTCAGCCCACTGTGCTGAGAACCTTCAGATCCCTCTCCACCTCAAACGTCTTTGCCTGCTCCGATCGACCCACCGTCATCTATTCCTCCAACCACAAGCTGGTATTTTCCAACGTCAACCTCAAGGAGGTCAACTACATGTGTCCGCTCAACTCTGAGGGCTACCCCGACAGGTCCGTCAAGACTTTTCATTTTGTCTGCCAGTGTTTCAGCTTGTATCTTTATGGAGATCTTCTGTTGTGTTTCCAAGCCTTTCATTTAAACACTGTAACCTTTGAGCCCACACAGCTGCATCAAATTTACTCTCCGGACTACAGAAAACTGCAATCCCACAATTTCACTTGTCAGACAGGTGCATTTACTTATCTTTTTTGAATATTAATACTTTTTTTTGTTATTACAGTCTGGCTCTGGCCAACAACAGCACCTTGACCATCGGAACCATTGATGAAATCCAGAAACTGCACATCCGCACAGTTCCACTCTATGAGTCTCCGAGGTCAGTCCACTCCTCAAATGGACATTTAAAATAAACACATTTCTCTGCAGTTTCTCTCTTTCATTTTATTGTTTGTCAATTTGTTGCCTATA